GAAGTGCATACGGAGATAACTGTTAGCTGTGGTCCCACGCGCAATGGAGCAAGGGAATGTTTAGCTCTCTACGCTGGACCTCACGCTGTCCCTAGAAAAGTTTCAGAAACAATTTGCATTAACCATCGCATAAACCAGGACACAGATTGGCGGCTCAAGAATCCTTTATTCTTACGCCAATATGTAACCAACGGTAAGGTTATTACACAGAAGGTCTGAGAATAAAACTGAACAGGGAACGATGAGACGACGACTGCTGGATTGATGACTCTTGGGAAAAATATGGAGGAGTTGGGTTTGAGCAGACGACCGTGAATTGATCGTTCAATCTACAACTACATTGACAGACATTATCTCCATTCATTTACTTTTTGTTGGCCATACAATTATGGGAAGGAGTAATTTGACAAAAAGAGAGGCTTCCTTAAACTACTTAGCCGTAGTCTCCTTCTGGAAGAGTAGCGCATGACTGAACTTATCCGGCAAGTCGGCTGATATTTCGCTCAGTAAATATTTTTGTGGATAATCTGCTTGGTAGTTTAACAATTTTGTCACACGGTAGAGGCCAGACCATTCACGAACTATAGAGATCAATATAAATATAAATATAGGCTGTTAATTGGTTGACCATAACTACCAGCAGGAGAAGAAATGAAGTTTTAGTTGTAGCTGAACCTTGATGAAGATATTCGTGGGGGTTACGATTTTACATTTATACGGACTTCTTCTGATTGCTTGTACTAATGTACTTTATACTTATGAAAAATGTCAATTTATCTAAATTGGAAGATTGTAATTTATGCCATATCTGACTTAATTCACTTCAACCCAATAAATGATTCACCCACAAGATAAAGCTAAGTGAAATAACTTTGTGATGCATGCACATATATAGTCAACAAAATTTCAGGTTTCAGGGTGATTGTATTCACTAGTTTGTGAGATAAAATGAATACTACGAGGGTGAATTATACAGACTAAGCATAGGTTAATGGTCAACAAATAACAATATTGGTGATAACGAAATGAAAACGATAGTATGATGTAAACTTAAAAGCACCATTAGGGAAAGAATTTCAAGTAACAATGAATTAAATGAAGTGGAATGGACAGGATTGTACAAATATACTAACAAGTTTGAAAAGCATTACGTAAACCTAGGGTAACAGATATAATGATAAGAGTCATGCAGCATCGAAAGTCCCCAAGTAAAAGTTTATCGCTGAGACAAAGGAGAAAAGAATAGAACTTTTGGAGGCGAAGGATAATTTATTTAAAACAACTTTTATCTAACTATTTTTGTTCTGAATATTCGTGGTCTTGATATGAATATTAAATGAGATTTTATGTGTCTTTGGTTAAAGCCCAACTCTTGCTGACTTCCGAGGTGTTTACCTTTTGGTGTCAATCGGTTATGGAAGTTTAATGAAATACCACTAATTTTGTTTAAGTTATTAGAGGCGATATTTCGACTTTTCCAGTTCTGATTCTGCTTTTCCGCTCCAAGGTCAGATATTCGGACTGTTGCAAATCTTTTTAACTGTTTGTTTTCTTTCACGTTTTTAATGAGGATATCACATTTGGATTTTTTATGTTGATATATGCTGAAAGTTTCATGTTATCATGCACCGTATACACAAGGTTTACTTAGGTTACTTAGGTAACCCGAAAAACTCTTAAGTTTCAGGAGGAAATTTAAAGGTTTTCAGTAGGTAATTAGGGGCTTCTGGGGAAAAGGAACGTTGCACTGCCCCAGATTTTTCCTTAGGGTAGTTTTAAAATGCATAAGTATGGTCTCGGTGATGTCAAGGGATAGAAGGCAAGAATTTTAATATGTCCTATATGTATTCTATCACTTTGTCGACTTAAGTTTAACAAAATGAGTGACCAACCAGTGACCTAGCTTAAAACGCTTAGTGAGCGATTTAGTGATACCTGGTAAGTGATATTGTAATCATGAGTAAAATATGCTTAACGAAGTGTTTTGTCATAAAATGGGATATATGGCAAGTTTCAGGTCAGTTTTGGAAAAGATTAAGTCAAGGTCTAGGCTAAGGACAAGTTAGGGTTAGGTCAACCTAATGAGGGCGACATTAAGGTTGGTTCGAGTTAGATTACAGTTAGTTTAAGGGTATTTTCACGTTAGGGTTACGCTGAGGAAAAATTATGGTTATTGTTGGGCTTAGAAGAGCCAGATAATCACGTGCATAGAGTGTGTGTTGAAACTGTAGTCCAAAAGTAAGAGGTATTTGTATCACACGTCAGAAAAATATATTCTGTGTAACAGTTTCATGCCTTTAAATTCATTATTTTCATGAATATATATATTTTATACTCCAAAATTGCCTTTACTTTGTGGTTGGTGCGTTCAGGGTCATTTATCTGTTGATACTTACTTGTAGTTAAAGTTTAATTTTGTCGTCAAAAGATAACTTGTCAATTCTTCTAGAGCTAAAACCTCATACCATAAAATCACAGGATAGTGGCATTACAAACATTTCGAAAGATGAGAAGAATGATTGATTGAATCATATTAAATCTTACTGTCGTATGTGCAGTTGATAATACTGTATTTCTGCATCACCTCTGTTTTATTTAACCAGTATTTTTGTTCAAGCCTTAGTCCACCTGGATGTATTTGAAATATTCTTCTTTCTTTGGTCGAGGTTGAACTGTAGCAGCCACTCTGGTACATGATCTTCGACAACCAGTTAGATTTGCAGATAGTATGACTAATTCAAGCTGTGCCTTCTGTCGTGGATATGCCTAACCACTTCCAGGAAAAGAGTTTTTGATTACTGCGTAAATGATGAATTGATTGGAGTTGCTAAAGCATGCATATTCTTTCGAAGTTAGCTAGGATAACTGATATTTTAAGGGAATCGGGATTTTGAAGCAGATTAAAGAACAGGATCAGAAGTATAAAATGATCTTAGAACGACATGATCTGTTTTTTTGCTCCTCAATTCTAACTAGTCCCTTAAAGTTCATGGTGAGATCAATGGGGGTGGCCGCTATAGTTTAACATTTCCGACTTCTATATCGATTGTTTTTTAATTCATTTGGCATAATGTGTCAAGTGATTGCCTTATTTCACTATGAGTTGCAAGTGTTTATCGTTCTTGCTCAGTTATGCCAGACAATGTGCTATTAAGCTATAGTCCTGAGATCTGACGGGAATATTTGGAAATACTAGCCAGGCCTGAGAACCGAGTGCGTCATCAGCAGGCCTGTATGATTTAATGCAACTATTATCAAGCTATAAGCTACTTCCAGTAATTGACCTTTCATAGTACTGATCGTTAGTTTAGAAGGAAGTAATTTAAAAATCTATTGCTTTAGCTCACGATTGAATAATAAGTGTAAAATTGCCGACAAATGTACGTCTTTTGAAACCGAAACACTTCAAAAAGTAAATGAAAAGGAATAACAGAGATGTTATGGTACTAATACAGTGGGCAGAGATATATAGGAATATAAAAATGCTTAGTAAATAGTAGTAGTTGTGTTTAGGAGTGAGGCAGTAGAAGTGGGGAGAAGAAATATGCACCATTGTGAAAGATGTTGAGCCATGTCACTCATGAGTTTTAAGACATTGATCTTTGGTATGCAAATAGTGTCACCCTGGTAACCTACATCTATGAGGCTTAGACCAGTAATCAATGACTTTATAGGTCAGTAGCACCTTTTGGTATTGCCACAGTTGTTGGAACAGGAAAATATAAAGGGAATCACTGATATAGGAATAACTTCCATGTGTTGACGGGTGCATACACCATGAATAAATTCGTTTGCATAACGAAAGAATAGTTTTATGCCTTGGTCACTATCACTTCAAGTTACATCTGGAGTGTCACTTTACAGTCTGTAGATTCGCGACTAATATTGAGTTTAGTGAGTTATTCTATTTTTTATTTATTTATTTTTTATTTTTGATTACAGCTTGATTCCACATTGTATTTTTTTTGGTACTAGTATGGAATTTTCAGCATGGATATCGGTAGCCCAAATTTTGCAGGCCGACCATAGATATCGGGTGTGCGTCGGCGCGGGCTCGAGCCCCGGACCATGTGCATGGTCGGTGAGAGTCCTAACCACTGTGCCACCGACGCACAAAAATAAAATAAAAAAATAATTAAAGATCATATACATATAGCGCATTGAAATGGATTCGTGTAGTATATGGACTTTCTAAATTCTACATTCTGGAGTTTATTAGACTAGTTATGCTGGAGGTGAATATATTTAAAGTAGAACAACCTTCATTATGGTCATTATAAGCTCATTATTGGATGATAATTGTGAACTTTATCCTTTTTGATGTTGGACATTGGAAACTATGCCAAATTTACTCTCGAATGGAATTTCATGTTTGGTTAAATACATTGTTTATAACTTTAACCGTGTCATAAGTAGCACAAGATGTAAAAGCAGTGAGTCATGTCGTAAATTTAAAAAAAGGATTAGTATAATTCTTGTCTTCGCTCAATACTCTAATCAGATGGCCAGAAAAGGTCAGCCACAGGGATCTGTGGGAGCATACCAACCAGTAACCGATCGTGAAGCAAATAAGCAGGAAGAAATGAAGGTGGATTGGTTGGCAATATTCTGAGGAAACCATCAAGTGACATCACACGACAGGCCATCGTTCGAGTGGGACCCGAAAGTGAAACGGCGAGTTGGTCGTCCAAGGGTGACTTGGAGGAGGTCATGTGAAGAGGAGATGAAAGCATGTGAGCAGACGTGGAGTCAGGTGAAAACTTTAGCAGAGAACCGAACGCAATAGAGAAGTTGTGGCTGAAGCCCTTTGTTCCTCTAGGAATCAAAGGAAATAATAATAATTGTGAATTAGTTAACATTTACTGTGAAAAATCATTTTCTGCTGTAACAGAAAGTCCTACTTTAGTGTATTAACAAAGTTAAACTAACTCTGTACTGGATTTAGTTTATTGCACTTAGTAATTAACACTTTTTGAAACTACTGTTTTACTCAAATTTAGATGCCTCTGTATCCTTCACTTGAGCAAATGAAGGTGAGCAGTCTTCTGGAGAGTCAAGGTGTTGGTGGGGGTGGCGTTGGTAGTGGCGTTGGTGGTGGTGGCGCCGGTGGTTATATGACTCCTTGGGAACCTCCATATGATGATGCATCAGTAGCCATGCAACCAGTGCAATCACATGCTGATCTTCTTAGAAGTATGGGTTATGAGGCGGGCTCTTTTTATTTTAACAATCTTGGTGAACTGGTTCCTACTAATCCCGCAGCGGCTTTTAAAAATGATGACTTTAGTCAGCCTGGTGCTGCTACAGACTGTGCATCAAACTCCATGGCAATTTGTCCTGTTCCACCAAGTGGAACATTGGCTCTTTTTCAACATCATGACATTTTTGACAAAATAGAAATTAAAGCAGGCATTCGACTTGTAACTCTTTGTAAAAATGATAATGGTAAGGTTGGCATTCAATTGAAGGATATAGAAAAAGTGAGTTCTAGCCAGATATGTTTATCATTTACTGATGATGTTTTGAACACAGGATATTTTTTTCACTAAATTTTTAAATAAAAGAATTAAATATTAATTTAAAAAAACTTGTATTTAATTTTATGTACTCTGTTGTTTATTATTGTTCATAAACAATTTGGTTATAATAAAATGTTTTGTTTATGTGTCTGAACGAGATCTACTCTGTAGCAAAAACAATTTCTCTCTAAGAATCTGCACATTGTGTTGTCGGTTGCTTTAGTATGGCACCAAGTTATCCGTTCAAAGATTTCATATCATAAAAAGTCTAATAAAAGCGAAGAAAGAACATTTATCAAAGTCAGAATCTGTTACAAAAAGGGCTGAGTGTCTCATGCCTCAGGGGCCTAGTACATGACGCTTCAATGTTTTTAATTGATGAGGTGTTTTCTTTACGATTTTAGGCTTCAATTTGAACACCATCACACTGGGGTGCATATAAGACAGGAGGCGTACATCTTAGGTTTACTGCTAATCAGCATTTTATCAAGTAGTGAAGAAAAAATACATTGTCATTGTAAAATACACTGGGATATCTTCTAATCCCAAACATATTTTTTTTAAACGGGAAAATGGCTTTAATTGGTGGATAGTGACTAGCGGTGGAATCCAGGATAACGTGCATTTCGTCCTATTCGGGACTCGCTATCTGGATGTACCTGCATTTCCCAGTGAGTGATGATGTCCCCACCGAGGTTCGAGCCTTGGAGAAGTGGCTTATACTTATTTTGAGTGCCAGTTATTACCACCCATATATGAGGCGAAATTACTTTTTTCTTCACTCGTTTGCTTCCCGAGTGTTCCGGAAGCATGGGACTTCAAGCTGCGAAATTCCAGTAGTCACCTTTTGTTGGTTTCACAGAGTGAGTTTAACCTCCCGTCTCTAGCTTAGTCTACTTCCAGATAAGCAAGGTTTGGGAGAGTGTGTCAGCTAGGAATCGAATGCTGCACCATGTGCATAATTGACCAGCATCCCACCTCATTGAACCATTGACGTACGAGGTCAAATATATATATTTGTTCTAAGTTCAACATTCATGACAGACTAGTTGCAAGACTACAGCTCTATATGAAAGTAGATTGAAAATTCCTTCAACATGTTCTTTGCTTAACAGTATCAGCATGATATCCAAAATCAGCTCTGTCTGTGCTTAAAGTCTACGTCAACGTGTAAATGCCATTAAGGAATATGAGTTATCTAATAATATTCAGTCTTACTACCAAATGTTTAAAATATCTCATCTCTTTCAGTTTTCATTCACAGCAATCAGTTTACCTACCTAGTAGGTTGTATGCAGTTAATGAAAAAATTGTCGAGTGAATAGGAATTTATCAAACGTCTGTTTGCAGGGATTTGACTAATTACAGGTGCGGTCATTGATTAGAGAACTATTGGAAAATCAGCAGAGAGTACTGGACAACTGTTAAGTCCGCCTAGTTCGAGACTCCTCAACAGTACACACCCACCGCTAGGGTTCGAATCCGGAAGGTTTCGATCAGATTTCGTGGACCAATCAGCTATTGAGACTCGATCCAGTAGCCAATGCATCAATTTCAATTTCTGCTAATTCGTGATATATATATATATATATATATATGCTGAAATGGGAACAGGTAAAAGGGACCTGGGGACATTATATCATATAACCACGTCTCTATCCGGGAAGAGATCGACACAAGTGAAACCTATAAAAGACAGTCAGGGGAACCCAATCACCAAGGAAGAAAGATTAAACAGTGGGCGGATCACTTCGAAGGACTCTTGAACCGACCACCATCTGCAACCCATCCAGAAATACCAACAATAGCGCGTACACAACTGCAAGTTGACACCAATCCTCCAATGAAAGCTGAAATCTTGAATGCAATCAAACTTCTGAAAGCTGGGAAAACAGCCGGACCAGATGGAATACCCCCTAAAGCACTGAAAACAGCCCTAGAGACGACAGCAGATATGCTGACTCCACTATTGCAAAAGGTCTGGACGAAGGGAAAGGTGCCTACTGACTGGAGGAAAGGTTACGTCGTGAAACTGCCAAAGATGGGCGACTTAGGACTCTGCAAGAACTGGCGAGGAATCATGATCTTCTCAACGCCAAGTAAAATCCTGAGTCGCATCATCCTGGAGAGAATAAAGGACACACTGGATGCAGAACTCCTACCAGAACAATCTGAATTCAGGAAAGGCAAATCATGTCCTGACCAAATTGCGACTCTACGCATCATCATCGAACAAAGCATGGAATGGCAATCAAGCCTCTACCTCAACTTTATAGAATTTTAGAAGGCCTTCGACAGCGTTGACCGTGAAGTAATTTGGAAATTACTCGAGTACTACGGCGTACCCCAAATATTCATCAACCATATTCAACAGCTGGCTGTACGACAACGGCACATGTCAAGTGATCCACAACGGAAAACTCAGCGAGGCGTTTGGAGTAAACACAGGAGTCAGACAAGGGTGCTTATTATCACCCATGATATTCCTAATTGTGGTGGATTGGATTATGCGTCAGACAATGGGAAACGAGAAGACAGGGATATCCTGGACCAACGCGAAGAACCTAGAAGACCTGGATTTCGCACGTGGATGATTTATGTTTGATGTCACTGTCACAAAATCGATGACTTACAAGCGAAAACCGACAAACTGGTCGAAGAAGCAGCAAAGACAGGACTCCAAGTGAACATAGACAAGACGGAGGTTATGAAAATAACCAACCAACAACAAAAGCAACAACAGCAGCAACATCCAGCGTCAATCACCATCAACGGGAGGGATTTGAAAGAGGTTACTTCATTCACTTATCCAGCTAGGAAGCATTGTCTCAACTACAGGAAGTCGGAACGGACGAGGATGTCAAATCGAGCAACATTCGGGAAGGCGAGAAACACATTCACTCATCAACCTGAATCCAATCTGGAAATCTTCGTCACTCAGCATCAACAACAAAATTCGGTAGGAGTTTCAATACAAACGTCAAGTCAGTCAGTTCTTCTATAGGGCCAGAAACTTGGCAGGTGGGTCACAAAGAATATTTCCAACAGCCTGTTGCAGACCTTCATCAACAATAACTGTCTTCGCTCTATACTGAAGATCAGATGTCCGGGCCGGAAAGAATCACCAACAAGAAACTATGGCTGGGAACAAACAAAACAAGAACCCATCGCCCAACAAATATGCAGGAGAAATTGGAGATGGATTGGACTCTCTCTTAGGAGGCCGCTGGGTGATATCACACGCGCGTCAGGCCATTGCTCGAGTGGAACCAGGCGGAAAGGGAAGCGGCGAGTGGGACGTCGGTGTAAGGGTGACATGGAGGAGATCGTGTGAAGAGGAGGTGAAACAGTATGGACTAACATGGATGCAGGTGGAAAGTACAGCAGAAGGAAGACAGAAGCAAGTGGAGACGTGCAGTTGAAGCCCTATGTTCCACTAGGAACCCAAGGGAACAATAATAATAATATATAAGTACATAGTGTAACCACCAGCCAGTGCCATAGTCGAGTAACTGACCTGTTATCAGACTCCTCTGCTTACGACTTCTCTCACTAGAACTCCAGGCAACTTGTTGTATAAAACTAGTCGCTAATGCGTATCAGGTTATTTATTTATCAACGAATTTCTTTTGTTCTGTAAGTCTTTGATTGTTTTTTGTTTTTTCAAAAAATAATTAAAAAATGGCTGACAGCTTCTCTACTTCTCTATTTTTTTTGTTCTTGTTTTCTCCCCTTTTGTATTATATATTCTACTAAATTATTTAGGGTATATTCGTTTCTTTTGTGGAAGCAGGGTCACCAGCTGCACTGGCCGGTGTACGTTTCGGTGATCAAGTCCTAGAGATTAATAATATTTTAGTAGCTGGTTATACAGGATCAAAAGCAATGGATTTGCTTAAAAATTCTTCACCTAATAATATCAGATTAGCAATTCGTGATCGGTAAGTAAAGCAAAAAAAAAACAAGTAAAAATAGTAAGAGTAGTAGAAGTGTTGGTTAATTTCTTGTTTCTTTTACTTCACTTGCATAAATTATTTATTTATTTATTTATGTGTTATTAATTTTGTTATTTTTTATGAGAAATTCTCATCTAAACATTAATAAGACCAACAAAAGACAAGCAGTTCAACAAAGGAGGTTGTTTTCAGTGAATTCATTGTCTTCTTTAGTTGTACAATCTCCCGCCGCCGCATGAGAAGGCAGTGGACTGTGGACTTACCTGGCAGCGAAACAAAAGTAAACACAAGTATAAAGATTATCTGCATTATTTAAATAGGCAGTGTAGCTTGTCTCACGAGACACGAGACAGGAAAAGCTGTCTTTTGATTCTGAACTTTTGATTTCATTTGATTTGATACGATTGGTCGAGATGTTGACCAGAGAAAGTAAAAAAAGTCATTTCCGTCTCCACGCCTTCTCCCACAACACCTCTTGTGTTATTTCTTATCTAATAATAAACCTTTCAACTCACTATTCACATAGACAATTGCTGATATAGTCAAGTAGTTTATCTAGGAAACTTTAGAATTTAGTGCAACACCAATGTTAAGACCAAGAAATACTGATGAGTTGCAGTGAAAACTTCATCATCAGGACGTTGTTGTGGATGATGCCTAGTTTTAAAAGTGATTAAGTAATAAATCATACTGAGTGATGTTAGCATGTGCTGTTCATTCTTGATTGGATTATTATTATTATTGTTATAATGTATTGTATGCGCCGTCGGATATTACCTTATCTATCTTAAATCGATTTCTGTATATTCTTAGTTCGAAAAGTCATCTGTCCCTGAAGTCTCTGTCTATAAGTGTCCAAGATTGGTCATGAACTAACATATAATTTAGAGAACCATTGAAAATCAGCAATGAGTCATTGGATTCTATAGCAGTGGGGCTGAATGGTCCAAATGGCTGCCTTGCGAGCTGAATGTCATGGGTTCGATTCCCTACCGTGGGGTCATAGGTGTCTACTGATGAAGACTCTCAGACAAGAACGAAGCAGCTGTTCAGTACTCCAGTACTAGTTTTCAATGGTTCTCTGACTGAACTCAGTTTATGATCAGTTTTGAAATAAAGTTTATCGTAAAATTTTCAGGTTATACAATTTGCAGGGGATTCGGGATTAATTCTAATTGGTAGATTTTTGTGGCGAATTAATACCAGTTAGACAGACCTTTGGATAACTGTTTCTGCCTACTTTTTTGACTCTTCAGCAATTCGAACCCATGGCCCATGACCATGAGTCGAACCCAGGAACTTTAGGCTACAACACCAAGCTCATTGACCTTTCAGTCACTTGGGGTGGAATTCAGTGACTCCTGGATTCTAACTTTGTAAACTTGTGATGTAATAATAATAATAATGATTTACTTTATTCCAAAAACAGTACTTGTGATACAGATTGGAATTTTCAGCATTAATCACAATATTGCATCTAATATCCTCAAATTATAAATAAAATTAATCACACAGAAAATCTTCCACATTTACAATAGGGGTAATGTCAGAAACATGCAGCATATAAAATGGAAATAATAATAATGATAATGATAACCGCTAAGGTAATAATAATAATGCAAGTGAAAAATTCCGTGGGTTTGTTTCACACAGTATTGTCGTTATATGCAGTATAGAAATCCTAGAATGTTTAAAAATATTGAATATAATCTTCTGTTTACATGATATGGTGAGGGGAAAAACAAAGATTACAGCAGTCATAGAGATAAGTTGGTGCTTACAATTATGGAAGTAAAACAAAGAAGCAACAGGACCATAAATATAATAGAAATAATAGAAGTAAACTTGAAGGTACATAAGGATGGATGGAGGAAATTGTTTATTTTCTACTAGATGAAAAAAAGTTAGTTAGTTCTTGTCTGACACTATTTTCATCACATAAAATACCCGCCAAGTATAGTATCATAGAATTTCTATACTTAGACGTGCGAGCATACAGTTTTCTGAAGTTACTTCTTGTTCTACCTGAGGAAATGCAAGGTAAAAGCTGAGCGTGAAGTGGATGCTCTAAGTCAGACAAAATCCCTCTAGCAAATTTATTGCACGAAGTCAAGTGCCTATCGACAACGTTAACTATGTGGTCCACTGGGACACTACTCACCCTACTGACCGTCTTTACCATTCTACGAATTGTGACATAGTCCTTTTTAAGCAAACCAGGAAAGTATAAGGGTGAACAATAAAGAAGAATAGGTAGGATACAAGCAACAGTTTATTAACTGTAAGAGGAGGGGTTGAGTTATACCCGAGTGCCTCAACTTCTTAATGTAAAATGTCAGGCGGAATGTTTCACTGGAGATCGCTAAGACATGGGAAGACCAGGAGAGATCAGAAGAGAGAATAAGCCCAAGATACTTAATTTCTGATTTGATTCCTATATCATTGTCGTCAATCTTACAACTGTCATGAGAATCGATGACTTCTTTTAACTGTCTTTTAAATCTTAAGCTGAAATTAAGTTTAACATTTAGAAGGATTCACTTTCACCAATGAGCATCCACTTCACATCGACAGAGTAAACCCCATTTGTAGCGACAAGAAATCCATCTAGTAGCCATCAGATTATAGGATTTGTGGGAATTTTGAATTAATTTCAACTGTAAGATTTTTTTTATCTAGGACATTGGTGATGACAGCGTTACATCACGAGTTGACAAAGTTAGAATTCAGGGCTCATTGAATTCCAGCCTAAGTGGCTGAATGGTCAACGAGCTCGGTGTCGTAATCCGAAGGTCCCGGGTTCGATCCCTGTGTGTGTGTGTGGAGGGGGGGGGAAAGAGTTTTGAAAGATTCTCACTACTGAAGAGTCCTAAAATAGGACGAAACACCTCTTCAACGCTTCTCGATTTTCAATGATCTTTCATGTGAATGACAGTGTATTATTATGTGATATATATTTAATATTCTGTTTTTCCTCTTCTTCTTTATAGTCCATTTGAACGTGTTGTCACGGTTCACAAAGATGGTATTGGTACTGTGGGTGTAGAAATTCGTCATGGATTAATTAAAGCCATTGTTAAAGATTCAAGTGCTGCACGTAATGGCCTACTCACGAATCATCATATTATTGAAGTCAATGGTAAAAATGTTGTTGGATTAAAAGATAAAGCGTTGACACAAATAATTGATGAATGTACTGGTGCATTGAAATTTACTATTATACCTAAATCATTTTATGAAAAATTAACTAAAAAGTAAGTCGGTTAAATTATCTTATTGGATTTTATCACAAGCTAACTAACGTAGATTAGAGAGCCATTGAAAAAAACCCTGTGAGTACTGAACAGCCAGTTGTTTTCTCCTAGATTTGGACTCTTCAGAGGTACACGTGGGTGGACAAATACTCGCCGATGACATTCGCTAGCGGTCGTGCTATATCGTGAACTGACAGAAAGTGGGATCACTTCCCAATGGCTTAATGGTCTACAAGCTCGCCTCGTACCTCGAACCTTGCTGGGTGTACTGTTGACGAGTCCCAGACTAGGGGGACAAAACAGCTGTTCAATACTCCTTACTGATTTCCCGATGGTTCTCTCACCGATGTTAGCTCATGACGTAGTCCTGTAACCAATCAAATCCCTGCAAACCAACACTTGAATATTATCCCATTTGTGTGTATGCGTGTTTGTAATTTTAGTCAGTCACAAGTTTCCCTGGTGATCTTTTTAAAGATCTTGAAATACTAGCGAAAATTTATGCTTCAAGTAGATGTTTTTGATGACGTTGCCTTCTCTGAACCAGTTGACTTAATCGCAAGGTTTCAGTATGAAATGAATTTATTTGAATACTTCACAAATGATGACGTCATTGTGTCACCTGGTAATTTTTGTTGTGATTGGTTGTTAGTTTACATTGGTTAGTTTTTATTGACTTGGCATTTGATTTCTTTAGTCCTTTGATTTACTCTTTCTTAGTTGGTAAATTTGATCTATTCATCGCTGATTTACCCTTGTAGCAGGCTTCTAGCAATTCTTAGGCATTTGTCTAGTGTTCGTACTGTTTAACTTTCTACATTTTCCCAGTTAAATTGATATCCATAATGATCTATGTGTATCAATATGAAAGAATACATATCGTACATTTTCACAGCTTATTTTTGTTCTTGAATGTACAGTCGAAAGAGACGCCTACTACTTTGACGAATATAGAGAGGCTTATCACAGTTCATGCAGTTGATTTTGTAGATGATGTCTAAATGGAACATAGGCCTTCAGATTGGTAACTTTTTAAGTGTCAGTAGCCACAATGTTGCTTTCACAGTATTAGGTTGCTGGCGTCACACCCAATTTTCTCTTTTTTTCGAAGCTTACTGTTAACTAGTAAAGTAGACAATATTTTAGTGAGTGAGTTGGACAGGAGTTGAACCCGGACTATACGTGTGGTTAGCGAGTATTCTACCACTCAGCCACCGACACCATACCAGTAATTGACTGGCTCTTTTCTATTGATATTAGAATGCAAAATGTTTCCTATGGGATACACTGTGAGCAGGATTTACAAGCTTCACAAACTTGTTCACACTTGTCATATAGTGTAGTCTGTTTCGAAATCTAGTAATGATGAATCTTATTTTGGCTTACTGGACGAATCTGTTCAAGGAAGAAGAAATTAGTGGTTTGCTAAACCGTTAAAGATAGGAATAGGATAGATCAGTGTTGGTGATGAAAAGAACCACAATAACAGCAGCAACAAGCATCGATCACTATCAACGGAATAAATATAAAAGAGGTGATTTAGATATGATAGAGAAAATTTGTAGCCCAGGTGGATGATTTTTATGTGAGCCAGGAATTGTTGCCAGGACTCATTGCAAAACTTCACCTTAAGGAAAATTAGAGAAAAATACCTCATGGACGTCTTCCAAAAGAATGGATATCCACGGAATTTTATCAAAAGACATATACCCCCAAGCAAACCTAATAAACCAAAACCCCCAAGAAAGCACAAAGAAAATCGCCCTACCATATACGCAAGGACATCTCAGAAATCACACTACAACACTCTTCAAACCTTTAGAAATTGACGTCATACACAAACCAACAAAATCACTTCACTTAATCCTATGTCAACCCAAGGACTCGACAGTGAAAGAAGATAAAACCAATATCATCTACAAAATAAATTGTAACAACTGCGAAAACACTACATTGGCCAAAGTGGACGTCCCGTTCGTCTTTGTAACCATGATCATAAGCTAGTCGTCAAAAGACATGATATTCACTCGCTCGTATCACTACATACAACAATCGCGGACATCAATTCGGCTGGGACAAAGTTCAAATATTAGACAGAGGAAACACCAAGAATGCTAGAGAATTTTTAGAATCCTAGTATTCTGGTGAATCACCAATCAATAGACACATCGAGATAGACAAAATTTATCAACCGATAAGAAAGAAATCTCACACACAAAGGGTCAAAGTTCAAGTCAAAGAAACAATCAGTTCCAATACAAGTAGCCTAGAGGGTGTGAAGACACACAAAATCAACCAATCACGTTCAAGTTCAGCCACTGGGAGAGATGACTAATAAACTCGTGGAGAAATCAAAAAGCCCACTTCAACGAATTGAAGTAGGCGCTGAAGATTTCGCCTAGTAGGGCGATGAAAGCTTCCTAAATTAACTATCCAGCTCAGATAACACAACCACATAAAAAGGGGGTGATTTCTTTCATGCATTTGGCCATCGTCGTCCCAACTACAGGCGGAATGGATGAGGACATCAAAACCAATCAGAATCGGAAAGGCAAGAGAGACCTTCATCATTCTCAAATCAGCTTGAAAATCTTCTCTGTACTCAGTACAATTCGGATTCGCAACACCAATGTAAAGTCAGCCATTTCTTCCAAATGGTTCAGAAACTCGGTGAGTCTAAAAAAGGTGTTTCGAACAGTCTACCTCAGACTTCTATCACCAACTGCCTCCTCTGTATGCTGAAAATGAAATGACCAGAAAGAATTAACTACAGGAAAAATCTGGGAACGAATCAGTCAAGAACTTATTGCTCAACAGATATCTCGAGGAAAATGAATATGAATGGGACACACGCTCTGGGCAACATCTCTCGAATGAAACCGTGAATGAGAAATGAGTTGGAAATTGGTCTGAAGGTGATGTGGAAGAGGTCGTGTGAAGTGGAGATGAGAGACTATGGGCAATTGTGAGGCCAGCTAGAGAAGACCACACAGAATAGGATGAAGTGGGGATATGCTGTTGAAACTTATGTACTACTCGGAAGCCAAGGGGAAAAGTAACAGTATAAGTACTTCATCTCTTAGTTGGGGAATCACTACCGGTCAGTATAACTTGCTCCACAAGCGCAGCTGGAAGTGGCTAGTCTAGGTACTTCATCTTTCAAACGGTGATTCCCTAAATGAAACACGAAGTTCTTGGATTAGCCACTTCTAATAATATAAGTGTTACTATGTTCCTGGTAGTTTATCATAGATGACTACCTGCCTAAATGTCGGGTGTTAGGTGGAGTGGAGTAGGCCTTAAATGGAAAGAAGGTGTAATGTTAGCCTAACCCAAGATATTGGGAGGTTGTTAATTACTCTTCTGAACTTTGCATTGATATATCGGCTATCCGACTGTGATTTGTTAGGATTTAACCATTAGGAGATGATAAGGACTATCGGTAATGTATAGCTTAGGAGAATAATCCCAGTGGTGGTGAAAACATGTTCTGATTCTTTACCAGATTTGAGGATCATTTTCATCCAGTTTTTCATATCTTTTGGCTAACAAAGTATAAATAGCGAGCTAGGCAAACTGTGAAAATGATAAACATTATATGCGTAGAAAGCAAATGTACGGGAGATTGTGGGCTAACAGATTCTCACACATCGTAAAATCATTGGATATGTGAAGACAGTAAAATCACAGGTTAGCTTCATAGAAAGTCTTTCAACGAATGTGATAAGGTGTATTTCTTGACAGTCTTGATAATCCATAGTAGTTTAGTCTAATCGCCTGCTATCCAAACGATCTCTCTAGCCATGTTAGTACTCACAGGAACATTAATTCCAACTGGCGTAGCTAGCGCGTTAAATCATTGCGGTGTACAAGCGCGACAGGGCAGCAACAGCTATCCATCGGATTTTCAGGTTTTACGGAGTTTATGATAAATGGAGTAGAATACAAACTGCCACATACTTTGTGATCTCATATCTTCTATTTTTGACAACTGTGCCCTATATTCTTAAAGTAATTGTGTCACTATTTGTCTAAATGAACTTCAGATAGTGTCTTTAAAGTGTTTTAGTGAACGTTACTTAAAAGTTTTCAAGTATTGGTTTTGTAGGATTTAGTTTGATTGGATGGAGGATTTCATCATGAGCTGACATCATTTAGAGAACCACTGTTTCGTCCTATCCAGTTGTTCTCTAACTGATGTCAGCTCATGATGAATTACTTAAAATGATTAGTTTATAGAAATTTCATTGCTTTTAATTTTGATCATGGATTGATATCACTTAGCGAACCATTTAAAATCATCAAACAATACTGAATAGTTAATTTTTCCTAGTTCGGAGCCCTTCACCAGTATGCAACCCCCACCAACTGTGGAACGAACCCAAAACTTTCAGGTTACGCGGTGAGCTCGTTAATCATTCATCCATTGAAATGTAACCAGCCAATGCTATCGGCGAGTATTTCTCCTTGTATATCTGACTTGGTAGACCCAACTGGTGTCTACAAATTTAATCTGATGCTTGGCTCATTAGTAACTTACTACAGGACAAATTTAATCTGAATTTCTTGTGAGAAATTGTGACCAATGGAGTCTATCAAGTCCAGGTGTGAGGAGAAATATTTGCTGATGACATTGGTCTGCAGTGGCCATTGATTTCTGTCCCAATAGGGATTGTGAAAGGTCAATGGACATGCCTTGTGGCCTGAATCCCGTGTGGGCTCGATCCTGAGCCGTGTTGCTGAGGGGACGAAACAGGCTGTCCCAGTGCACTCGCCTCGTTTTCAGTGGTTATCTAACTATTATCGATCTGTATTCATGGGTAATCCCCATCCAGGCATTAATGAAGACAAAAGACATGTAGATCAGCGAAGAGTCTGTTTTTGGCAACGAATTCAATTTCTTAGCTGTACAATAGCAAATATATAAAGGTGTTATTTTGTATGTGTGTGTACATTAAGTTTGTCAAACAAAACTACAATTGGTTGTGGTTATTTTAACTAAACAGGTGAAGATTGTTAATACAAGTCAAGAAAATTAGGTGTTAATGAAACTATTGTGTTTTAACAAAGGTGATGAGTTGTTACAAGCAGTTGTTAAAAGGAGTTATGTAAATAATAATATGAATAGTTTGATGAGTGAGTTTTACTCAAGATGCACATAGGAACAAGTTAGATAATACGAAATTACATAAGAGTTCTAAATGAATACAGAAATGATAAGCAATTAAAGAACAGGCAAAGAAACAAAATTAAGTCATCAAAATCAAAAAAATCAATTCAAATTAAAAAAAAGTGGTTACCATGACAGTAGAAGTGGTTGAGTAATCCTCTTTTGTATGCACAGTTCCGGTTTTTCTATGTGAATGGCCAAAGCTTCAGCGATACAAAGAAGACGAAACCGTATTGCCTTTGATAGGGTTATTCTTGACTCTGTGTAGATTACTTTGAAGCAGGAGGCGTTTGTTGATATGAAATGATCAGTGTTAACTAGGCGTTGTTCAATTATCGCACTCCTTATTGCACCACTATTGCCTTTTTGCAACCATGCTGGATAGCATTCTAGTATTAATGAAACCCTTTATCTCCCCTTTTTCTTTTTCACTTTATTTTTTGTGTTTATACAGTCTTTCAACTGGACAATTACGCGTTCAAATGGATCGATCTCTACCTATCGCCTAGATTATATTTTTCATATTACATCATCACTTATATTATACATACATACATAAACACATTGCTATAAATGCCATCGCTGACGTATATACATATGCCTATACATATATTTATTGATTGATTGGTTGATCGATTGACTGAGAGAGAGAGAGAGAACACACACACACACACAGAAGCTAACAATATAATTAATATTTTATAATTTTAATCTGTAAATTGTCTTCCATTTCGTTTCATTTTGATGAAAATATCATCGTATCCTCCTATCCTACTTACTCATTGTTAACTTTTAAGCAGAAAAGACAACTTCCAGTTATCTGTCTGGCTTTTTTAAAAAAAAAGTGTAGTGAAGGTTATTCACTGTTTATATTAATTAATCAATCGGTAATGACTATTAGTTTGTATTTGGAAGCTTTAAAATAAATGAGCCTTTGTTAATATCTCTTTTGCACTGTGTTACATCGATTACTTATTATTGTTATTATTATGATGTTGGGGATAAATGTGACCTGTTTACAGTTTCAAGTATACATTCGTTTGCTGCTTTGTTTTGAGATTCATTATTATCAATAATATTATTATTGTTATTATTATTTATTACTGTTGGCGTACAATTTCTACTTATTTTTTGTTTGTTGTTGAGATGCATAAATGAAAACATGAATTGTTATTATTATTATTATTATTATCCATCATGGATACCCATTATCCCCGTTTCTATTCAATTTCATCATAGATATTGTATTAATGGATTTAACGCTAACTCACTTCAGAGACTCAGGGATTGACTTGTTACCAGGGAGGGAATAATCTCGTTGATTTAGAATATGCAGACGATATAGTCCTTCTACGTGGTGAAGACGCTGACAAATTGCAGAGTCCTCTGAACACCTTGAGCTGCAATCTACGAATGTTTGGCATGCGATTCGCTCCCGACAAATGTAAGGTGACAGGGCTACACTGACTCCTAGTTTAGAAATAGGGAGTGAAGGGGTAGGGCGTGTTTACCACGGGTATCTGCGTTCTATCTCCTGTGTGAGGTGGTATAATAAGCTGAGCAATATTAAGGTTAGGCTTCAGTCGTGTGCTAGGTAAAGAGGGGAAATCAATCGACGAGGCTGTGAAGCCACATCGACTGAGATGGTTAGGAAATGTGTTACGTATGCTGTACGCCTAGGCATCGCCTTTCCCGACAATGGGCAATGTTAGCTGACATAAGGTCAGGCTGGTAAAGATCTAGCGGCGGTCAAACCAAAACATGGCTCCATCAGTCAGTGAAATCCAGAACAGTAAGTTTAAGCCAATCTACTTTCTTCTCTTACTTTGTGTGCTTCAAGCAGGGAGTGTGGCGACTTGAACTGCCGCACATCGATGCAAAGTTCTATATCGAAAACAGACGGACATTATTATTATCGCTACTATTCCTTTGGGTTTTGAGTCGGTGGTTCACGGGGGTAGAATACTCACCAACCACGCACGTGATCCGGGGTTCGATCACACCCACCCGCCGGCGCATATCATTACCTTCCCTAGCCGGTAATGTAGGCCTAACGGGAAGGCGAAGTTGGGCGGTGAAAAAAAACACCACTGCTCCTAGAACTTCGAAACTCCAGCTTCAAGCTCTATATGTTCGACTCAGAACGCAAAGGAATAAAAATAGATAATGGGGTTGGAGTGGAGAATGGAATTTGAACAGCACATCAGGATTATTTCACTTTGGTTTATATGGTCTTTTTTTTAATAAAGTGTGTGTGAAGATGCTGATAAAATGCAGAGCCTCTCATACAACCGGGTTCCCTTTATTAGTTTGAATAAAGAAATGACGAACATACTTTGAAGGTAATATGAACTGGTTTTATTTCGTAGATTCTCTTCATCTGTGTACATCCTGAACAGAGTCAAATAATAGATAGAATTTAATTGGTGGATGGTGGTCCCCGGTTTTTTCTGCCCTGTGACACGGCAGCAGGAAGCGCGGCCGTTGTTAATCCGGGCCACGGCCGATCCGGCATGAAATTTTGGGTGACTAGCAGTGGGATCCAGGATAACGTGCATTTCGTCCCATTCAGGAATCATCAGCCAGATGTACGCTTCATTCCCCAGTGAGGGATGAAGCTCCCACTGAGGCTCGAACCCAGTGCTCATAGTTTCAAAAATTGAATTAAATAATAATTATGACCCGTTGCACAAGTGGTGGCTGGCTGTCGTGGCTCAAGTGGTCTACTGGATAACGCTTTGGCGTTTGAAACTATGGACACTGGTTTCGAGCCTCGGTGGTAACATCATCACTCACTGAGGAATGCAGGTACATCCAGTGTCTGACTAGTCCCAAATAGGACAAAACGAGCATCTTGGGTTTCAATGATAATCACCATCCACCAATTAACTACTACTTACATGACCAGGCATCGTTGAAGCATGTGCATAAGCTGCCGAAATGTCAACTTGAGACTGAGCACTTCTGTTGAATCAATCGACGGGAATATCTAGAAATTGTATTAAAGTCAAATAATAAATTATAACATTTTTGAACATACTTTTTTCGCAGTGACTTCAAGTTATATTTAGAAAGTACAGGTAGCATAATTGCATGAATGTTGTAAGTAAAATTATTCAGTGTGAAGACTAATTATTTATAAGTATAATTAGACAAGGGGTATGGAGAGGGTAGAATTCAGATTCACCTTGGAAACAAAGTTGGACTAGAGACAAAATATAAGGTGGAACAACAAAGTGACTTTCAAGAGGGTGCGAATGAATATAGCACAGTAAAATTAAAAGTTAGACAAAGCAATTAAATAAATTTGGAAACTCAATAGTGAGTTCAACTAAGTAAGTGCGTCGGTGGCACAGTGGTTGGGACTCTTGCCGACCATGCACATGGTCCGGAGTTCGAGCCCACACCGACGCACACCTGATATCTATGGTCGGCCTGCAAAATTCGGGCTACCGATATCCATGCTGAAAATTCCATACTTGTACCAAAAATACAGTGTGGAATCAAGCTGTAATAAAAAAAAGTGAAAGTCAAAATGAAGATTGAGTGGATTTCCATGCAACAGAACAAAACACAAAAGCATATGAACAAAACAGTTATGGTTACCAGCATAGGGAGAGATTTGTCACGCTATCTTTCTGTATACAAAGGTTGGTGTCGAAGTCTTTTGACAGGAATAGCTTCTGAGATCTGAAGTAACCATGCTTTTCTTTGTGTAATAATAATAATAATAATTTTACTTTATTCCAAAAACAGTACTTATAATACAGAATGGAATTCTCAGCATTTGTCACACAACACCTTGCATCTGATTTACTTAAAATATAAATAAAATTAAAACAAAAGTAACTAAAGGAATTTGTCCACGTTAATGATATAAAATCAAAATATACGAAGCACGAATTGAGATTTTTAAATATATTAATAATAATAATAATAACAGTGAGTTTGTTTCAAACAGTATTGTCGATTCAAGCTGGAAATTTTAGTACGTCATAGATTATTGGATTTAATGTCCTGTTGATATAGTATAGTGAGGGGAAATACAAAATTAACAGTTACCCACACAGCTTAAATTATGTTCACACTTATGAAAAAATAGATAAAAACAAAAAATTGAGAGGATTATAAATATAAGAAATACAATAACAATAAGTTTGATACTGTAAGGGTGGAGGAAATGGTTTATTTAGTAGTGTAAAAAAGGTTATTTAGTTCATGCCTGACACCATTTTCATCACATAAAGCACGGGCTAAATATGGTATAGTGGAATTTTTATACTTAGACGTACGTGCATAAAGTCTTCTGAAAAGACTTCTTGTTTTACCTTAGGAGACAAGGTTGGAGCTGCTCAGAGTCTGATGAAATTCCTTTAGGAAATTTGTTGCATGACATCAAGTGCCCATCAGTGACAATGTCAACGATATGGCCCAATGGGATACCACTCTCTCTACTGACTGACAGTCTTCAAAGTTCTACGAAGTATGACATAGTCTGTTTTAAGCAATCCAGGAAAGAATAAGCAAGGGTGAACATTAAAGAGGAATAGGTAAAATACACGAGTTGACAAACTGTAAGAAGAGAAGGGGTTGAGTTATGCCTGAGTGTCTTAACTTCTTAACTTAAAAAGTCAGACGAAATATTCCTATAGAAATCGCTAAGACATGAGAAGACCAGGATAGGTCGGAAGAAAGAATCAATCCAAGATACTTAACTACAGACTTGGTTTTCATATCAGTATTATCAATTTTGCAAGGGTCATAGAAACCAACAGCTTCATTTAACTGTCTTTTGCATCGGAAATTGAAATTAACAGTCTGACATTTAGAAGGATTAAGTTTAAGGCCATTAGAAGAAGACTATTTGCTGAATCCTGATAGAAAGCTGTTCATCTTAGTACAGTCTATCTGGGCGTTAACAGACACTGAAATAGTTAGATCATCGGCATATTTAACAAAGTTCATGTCATCATCAGAGTGAGGCGAATCATGCAAGAAGAAAGAAAACAGAAAAGGAGAAAGGACAGCGCCTTGAGGGACACCAGTCTCAGTAAGCAACGAAGCTGACAACTTTCCTTGACATACAGTGTACTGCCTTCTTCCTGATAAATAAGAATGCAGCCATTTGACAATCCAACAGTCAGTTTGAGTTTCAGCAAGTTTATTTAACAAAATGTCCCTAGGTGTAATGATTATTTTGAAAGTTTGACTAATTTCCATTATATGTATCGTGTTAATTAGGTGTCTGATGATTGCATTTGAGGACACTTCGCTGTATTTTATATGTAAGACTTACAGGGAGGGATATATTCAGAAAATCTGGTGGACGCTCTCCTCTCAGTCCTTTCTATATAGTTGTTACCGCAAATGCAGGTGGATTGGTAAATACAGTTGGAGTTGACATGAGTAAGATACTTATCTACTTTTGACTGAGTTAACGAGCATATACCGTGTTGTAAAGTAGAGCGAGTCTAGTGGCGGGGTAGAAGTTTTTTCAAGTGGA